GGAGCGGGTGCCCTGCAGCCTGTCCGGGGGACCCGGGGGGATGCTGCTTTGGGCGGGTTTTGGGGAGCGGGGGCTGGGCGCCTCCCCGACTCCAGTCGGTGCCGTGCTCCTGGTCCCGCGCCGGGGCGGAGCGGGGCGGTAACGGGCAGCCTTGTCCCCTGCAGCCCCCGCAGAAGCGGCAGAGGACGGTGGAGGACTTCAACCAGTTCTGCACCTTCGTGCTGGCCTACGCCGGCTACATCCCGTACCCGCAGGAGGTCAGTGCGCCTGGACGGGGGGATCTGCCCCCTCTGCTCGGGGCGCTCCCGGCTCCCTCGTTCCTCCTTCCCCCGTTGCCGCTCGCGCGGGGCTCTCTGGGGCTCGCTGAGTTTCTCTTGTCTTCCCCGTCTCCTTTGCAGAACGAGCCCTGGACCCTCGGAGGTAGCATGAGCCCCCAGAACAGCACGGGCAGTACTCAGGACAGCGACAGCTGGGCCTCGTCCCACTCCGAGTCCCAGGTCCTGCCGGATGACGGGAAGAGCAGGAGCGCCAGGCACAAGGTGGGGATGGACGGCCTGCTCCTCGGCTGCCACGGTTTCGCCCCCAGCTTCTACAGCGCCCGGCCCCAGCCCCCCAAGAAGAAGAAACCGCCTGCGAAGAAGCTTGTTTTAGACCGGGAAACGGAAAAGAAAGCGGCACCGGCTGGCACGCAGCGTTTGGGGGATGCCTGGCCTCGGTGGGGGGAGCCAGCTGCGCCGCAAGGGCCGGCACCGCCCGTGAAGGAAGAGCACGTGGAGCCCCCCGTCACCCCGGCTGGCAAGCTCCAGCCCGCGTCCCTCCCGGACGCCTCCATCGAGGAGGAAAAGGACTGTGCGCCAGAGACGCAGACGCCAGCCAGCGGCAACCCTCAACTGGAGCAGCAGGAGAGCAGCCCCAGCTCTTCGAATGCCTCGGACCAAAGCAAAGCAGAAGACGCGAGCGGAGTGAGCGCCCAGCCTCGCGGTAAGCTCCTGAGCTAGCTCGTGTGGGCAGAGCCCGCGGGCTGCGTGGGGCGAGGGTTTTTTTCATGGTGCCAGGCGGTGCCCCAGGTTGCTCTGTCCTAGCTGGGCACGTTGCACCATCCCTGCCTGCAGGAGGAGCCTGGCGATGGGGCCGGAGAGACACCTTTCTGGCACGTGTGGCACGCACCAGACTTGCATCCTCCCCTAGTGCCACTCCCATCCCCTTCTGCTGCTTCACCTGCTGCTGTGTATTGTTTCCTGCTTTGTGCTGCCTGCCTGCTGTGCTGCTCTGCTTTCTGCTCCCTGGCCTATCTGCCCCTGTGCTGCCTGTCCCTTCCCTGTTCTGCCCGGGCCCCTTGTGCAGGTTGGCCACCGCTGCTGGAGGGAGCGGGGTAGGAGGGCCGTTATAATTGCAGCGAAATAGGGGATGCTGGGGCTCGGGATCTCCCTTTCCTTTGGGCCAAGGGCTGTATTTTGCAGCCTAGGAAAGGCCTGACCAAAGTGGAATTTTAATGGGAACTCCCTGAGCCAAGCTAAATGTCTCTTCTCTGTTCCAGAGCCATCAGGGGAATTTACAGCAGCTCCCAACACCAAAGCAGAAGGTGAGCGAGAGCCTAGAGCCCCCAGCGGCGGGTGGGCTGGGCATGTGGAGAGGGTGGCCAGGCTGGAAGAGGCTGGGGTTTGACTTGGAGCTGCTGTCTGACGATGCGTGGGAGTCAGCGCTGACTCCTTGCAGCAGCTGCTCCCTTGGGACACTGCATCCCCTCCCCCTCGCTGCCTCAGTCCAAGTCATCAGGCGTGCAGGGGCACTGTCGTCTGATTGGGGTCTGTCTCTTCTTCGCCAGAGGATGACGCCTGGGACCTGATCACCTGCTTCTGCCTGAAGCCCTTCGCGGGGCGGCCCATGATCGAGTGCAGCGAGTGCACCACCTGGATCCACCTCTCCTGCGCCAAGATCCGCAAGTCCAACGTGCCTGAGGTCTTCATCTGCCAGCGATGCCGCGACGCGAAGCAGGAGATCCGCCGCTCGAACCGGGCCCGGACGGTGCCCCGCAAGCGCTTCTGTGACTGAGCGGTCCCCGCGCGCGGGGGCGTGGGGACCCCTGTCGTTCTAAGACTGCAGCCCAACTTGGCTAGACAATCAACACCCGGTGACTGTCGGGGAGGGCCTGCGCTGCTGGGGCAGGGGAGCTTCTGTGCTGGACACAGCCCCTGCGCTCCCAGCACCAGGAACCTGGTTGGCTCCAGGAGAAACCACCTTTCTCCCCGCCCCAGGCTGTGCAGTTCAGGGAGCAGTTACCGCTGCATTGCAGACACTGAGGGGGGCCCACAGGAGAAGCCAGTGCACGAGGCCGGCCAGACAACCCTGCTCCAACTGGAGCACGGCTTGGTGCCTCCCCCAGTAGCCTGGAAGAGCCTAGCCCAAATAGTTCCCCTGTGGCGTGGTGTGGGGGTTGCTGACCCTTATCTCAGTGGAGTGCACATGTCCCCTCCTCTCTGCAGCTCAGGCCTGTTCCTTGGCCCTGACGGCCTGTTAAAGTCTCTGCAGGGCTGGTGAAAGGTGTCCTGTGATGGCCCCAGACTGAAGTTTTCTTCCAACAGAGCAGATAAAGCCCAGATTAGAGCAGCAGAAGCTTCTTCCTGCTCCAGGGTCCTGGAGGGGGCAGCTCTAGTGGGGAAGGGGAGTTGTCCCCCTGCCCGGCTCTGGGCTGGGTGTCTTCAAGCAGCGCTGAGTGCAGGGATGTGGCGGTCTGCCTAACCCCCTAGTCTGCCTAGCCTCCTGCGGGGAGGCGGTGACCTAACAAGTAAGAGCCCGGTCTCGGCAGGTGCTGTGTTCAAGGTGCTTGGGCTGAAGCTTTGAAGTGCCCCTTTCCCCAGACCTGTTTCTTCTAGAGTCTGCAGGGGGGTTGCTCCCCCTGATCTGAGCAAAGTTGCCAGCTCCGGCGTAGGGGAAGGGGCAGTGTGCAGTTACTGTAAATAGTGTTGGAGAGAGACTGTAAATAATTTGTAAAACAGACACTTTTAGAGAAATTACCGAGTGATTGTTGCTAAGCTGTCGGCTGGGTCCCGGCCTGGAATTTCCAATTGCACTGGAGTCCCTGGGCGAGAGGGACAAGGGATTTCCGGCAGAAGAGCCAAGCGGCGTGGGTCTGGGAAGGGGCTAGCGAGCTTTGTGGAAGGAGGGTTGGGATCAGTCTCTTTCCTTGGGGGCTCCCCTCCTGCTGCTCCCTTGTGCACTCGGGGAGAGGGGAGCTTCTGCCCCAAAGTTTGCTGGGTCTCGGGGAAACAAGCTTTGAGAGTAGGAAGCAGGCGAGGTTTCTACTTCCAGGCAGCCCCCTCCCTCCAAGTTTCCTTACTGGTGGCCAGCGAGGCACCCCCCCCTCCCTGGGGAAACTGTGAGACTCCACATGCCTCCAGACTGGGGGCTTGTGCCTTGAGTCTCATCTTCTATGCAACTCGCTGCCCTTGGATGGGATAGCCCTCAAGTCTCTTGGCAGGATGTCTGTCACCCTCACTGTGGGCGGCACAGGGCTCCGCGTGCACTAAGTATTGGATCCCATGTTCTGTTCCTTTCCTTCCACCTCTCCAAAGACCCAGACCCATGTGCCTTCTGTGCTGTGCGCGCTTCTCCACGGGAGACGTGGGGCTTTAGCCGTGGTTCTACCTTCTGTTCTGCCTCTTGTACCTCGAAGAACTGGGCAGGGGTCGAAAGGACCCCAACGCCGCAAAGCTGGGCCCGTTTCTAAACCAGGGTCTTTCCTACTTGCACATCTGGTTGCCATGGGACCACTTGTGGGGAGAGCAGGGGCCGCTTCCCCCATGGCTCCAGCACTCCTCTGGACGCTCCCTGTGCCCCTCTCCTGCTGCGGGAAGCCGAGGCCCTCAAGTGCTTTACACTTTTCTAGTTTTTAGTCACTTTTTATTGATCTGTAAAATAGCAAATTTCTGGTCTTTGCCCTGTGGAGTGTGGCTGGAGTGAGGTGTATATAATAAAGAATCTTTGCCATAGCCCCTGTGACCTTGTCACGGTTTTGTGGGTCTCAGTGGAAGTTCCCTCCCTTGCTGTAGGGGAGAGTTGTGGGGGGGGCTTGGCCATTTTCTGCTGATAGCAGTTCTCTCGAGGATCCCAAAGATGGCACGAGAAGGGGGAAGTAAACTAGTGGGTGCAACAAGTGTCTGCCTGCAGCGTTTGGAAGAGAGCCAGCCTCCCTGCACGGCGGAAGGAATGACTGTACGCAAAGGGCGTGGAGCCGATGAAGCAGCGGGGGAAATGCTACAGCGGTGACGGGCTATGACAGTATCCCGGGGTAAGAGTGTCATCTGGGCGCTAAAAACCAAGGCCATTAGAGCGTAGGGAGCATACCTGCCAGGTGAGCTCTGGGACTGGCTTGCAGATGGGACAAAGGCCGTCAGAGACGGGACTTGTAGAGATCTGGGGCTGGGGTGAAGTTTGGGACACTCACTTGCTGGGAAGCACGCTTGGGTTGTTGATGGCCTCCCACTGCCCTGGGTGTGGAGACGGCATGGGAAATGGCAGCGTTCCTCAGTTGTGGATCATTATCACTTACCCGTGAGCACACGCTGGGCCCCGCCGATGAGCCCCCTCTATTTCATTACCCCACCTCGTCCCCCAGGATGACTTCTAACTCCAGAAAAGATGACCAGAAACAAGTTGTCCAAAGCAAACATTTTATTTGGACACTGGGGTTTCCATTTCAATTAAATGCCAAACTGGGAGCCAGCTTCATGTACCGTGACACACTTGGCACAGCCAGCCACAAAGAAAGAAGCTTTCTATCCAAAGGAGCCTCTGGGGACTTCCTGGTTGCTTAATTAACCTTCTAAATGTTACTGATGCATGCTCTGTCTTCCTGAGTCTGCAGGCAGCCTGAAACAATAGATCTGGAAGCAGGGGTATGTGGAAGACCAAAGCCTAGTAGTACTGGCAGGAATCGGTTAGTTGCTGATGCTTTTAAGGAAATGGCATAGCGAAGCCACAAAGATGGTGGACATGGTGATACCTGCTGGGCTGAAGGTGACAATAAGGCACTTAATTACTCATCACGCAATGTGATTAGAGTCATTAGTAGCAATCCTAGCCTGGATGTTTGGCAGAGCTGCAAGAGGAGTGGGGACTCCAAGAAGGACTAGAATGCCAGTTTAGTTCTGATAAACCCCATGCCCAGCTTGATTATAAGGTAACGCCGTTTTTGTCCGAGATCGAGTCTGAAGTCCCGGTACCAAGTGCTTTTAGAAACAGATGGTGGTTTGGGAACTGGCCGGTTTTTGGGGGGGGTGGGGTTTGCCAGCAGCCAGGTAGGGTGATCTGTTGAGAGAAGGATGCAGTCCCAAGGAATTGCCAATGCTGTGTTTTGCAATTGGGGCAGAACCGTTCTTAATGCTTAGGTGTGCAGCCTTGTGGAGGCCGAGACGGACGTGAGTCCTGCCCCGTGGGGCCCCTAAGCTAACCAGGGACAGCTTAGTCTCAGCGGAGTCCTGCAGCACTTTGCTGGCGCAGAATCGGAGCAAGCCAAGAACGATGGAAACCCAGGTCCATGTTTTATTCTATTAGCACTACAACCCAAGCTGGGGACAGGGGCAGGAGGGGGCATTGGCCCACGGATCGCGGCATCTAGTGAAAGTGCATTCTTAGCCCAGACCGAGGGGCTTCCCTTCTCCTCCAGGTAAGGAATCACTGCCTCCGTGTAGAACTTCTCCAGCTTGGGGACCGTCTTGTCCCAGTACGCCTCGTCGAAGTCCACGGTGGTGATGGCCGTCTCCTTGTTGGTGTGAACAACGAAGTCGGCCTTCTCGAGGCCCGTGGCTGCCAGCTGGCACTGCACCTGAGTGAAGTAGGCATGGTTCTTCTTCAGGGCATAGGAGTCCCCTTCCTTCTCCAGGCAGAAGTCTTTGTCCTTGCAGGCCTCGCTGACCATCTTGTTTCTGTGCTTGTAGGGACACTTGACTTCCAGCAGCCCCAGCACCTTCCCTGTACCTGCTTCCTTGATGACTCCGTCGGGGCTGGCCGCGATCCACTCCTTCCCAGGATGGATGAAGAGGCCGCAGTCGTCCACCTTCACCGGCTTGCCCGACTTAGACTTGAGCTCCTCGTAAGCCTGCACCGCCACTTTCTCATTCTGGACGCCCCACGACATGGCTGGTGTCTGCACGCCGGAGCCCGAGCTCACCACAGCTTTCAGGTAAGACTGGGGCACCTCCGAGGTCTTGTTGTTGACAAACTTGCTGTTGGCAATCTTGTGCGCCACCGAGGCCGTGATGCGGTTCTCCCGCCACTCGTACCACTTGGGGTTGTCCCGCTGGCCCCGGGTTTCCTCCTCCACCTTCTGTATATCTTTTCCCATGAGCTGGCGGGGAAACTTGCTGGCTTCATCCTGGGTTTTGGAGACGGCCTGAGAGCGGCTGGACTGGCTCCTTCCCGGGTAGGAGGGCTCGGTGCTGGCAGGTGCTTTTCCTTTGGTGGAGGGAGGCTTCCCTGTCGCTGCAGGGCTCCTCGCTGATGCCTTGCAGCTCCTCTGGGCATCTCCCGCGTCGCTGCCGTGCGCTGCCGCGACACTTGGCTGGGACGAGCTTTGCCTGGTTCTGCTCGTGGCGGTGGCGGTGGCGCTGGCTGGTTTCTCTGGCTGCCTCCGGCCACTGCCTTCGCTCCTGGCGGCTGGAGCGCTCTTCGGTCGGGTGGCTGCTGGCGTCGCCTTGGCCTGGGACGAGGCGGAGGAACGAGGTGCAGCCGGGGTCGCTTTGGGGACAGCTGCAGCTTGCCGAGGGGACGACGTGCTGGCGGTGTCTTTGCGGGGCCGCCCCATTGTTCAGCGTTGGGGGTCACACTCTGTGGGCACAAAGGAAGTTAGACACGCACCCCAAAGCGCAGACCAGCTATGGCACCCGCGCCCGGCAATGACCTCTGTGCCTCTCCCGTAGCCAAGGAAAGCTACGCCCCTGCCGCCCCCCCTCACACACTTTGTCCCTGCTGCCCCTCTCGTCTCCTTCAACCACATTAAGACCTGATGCTGAGAGTGCAGGGCCATCCCGGGCCCTTCAGGGAACAATAGGTTATAACCTGCAGGGCCATTGACTCTGAATGTCCCTGGGGCTGGGGTGTTGTTGTAGCAGATGGGCAGAACATGGGCGAGAAGCCAGGGGGGTTTGGTGCATCTTTCATGGGGCCAGCTGCATAATTGGGGGATGGCAGGCAGCTTTCAGGCACAAATGCCCTCTCTCCTGGGTCTCTGAATGTCTCCTTCCAGGCACACGGAGGGGGAGGGGGAGGGGGAGGGAGCCCGGGGGTCCTTCCGGCCCCCAGGCAGCCCGGGGATTGCAAGGAGCAGCTTTGCTAAGCAAAAGCGGCTCTTCCACCACCTGAAGCAGGCTAGAAGGGCGCAGGACTGCTCCCAGACCAGAGCAGGGCGCGGGGGGCCG